AAAATGCAACGTTTTTTTGTTTCAAAATAAAATACAATGCATGCATTTGATTAGTGATGTGACACTTTAAATTATTCAATTTGATATGATTTACAGCCTCAACCATTTAGTGAGATTGTGTTTTGAGATTGTTCTTCCATTTTTCTTTTCCTTTATATCCCTGTCAACTTTTATGCATTGTTACTCTTGTATGTAAAAGGAAAGGGTTTCACTTAAATATGACTTTCTCATTTTATTTCATAAATTACAATCAAAACTACCAAACATTGTAATCTTATAATACAAATATTCATACAATGCATCAATTTATAATGCAAATATTCATACAATACATCAATTCTAACAATCGCAAATACCAAGCAACTTCTTAATCTCACCTTTTTTGCGAGATTTAGAATCCGTAGTTTAATTAAAACTACGGATTCTTAAAACTCACACATTTTTAAAATACACTTAATCTTAATACACACGTTCTTGTAATACACCATTGTTAGAAACTCATTAATTATGTTTTTGGTTATTTTGAATTATTTATCGGTTTTAGATGTTTGGGGATTATTTGGGGAATTCGGGGAATAATTGGGGAGTCTATGTCATTTTAGTTAAGTATGTAACGGTTAAGGGTAGGACTATATAATCTATAATTAATGGGGGTTTCCCATTAGGCAATTACAAATCAAAATTAACAACCCTAATCCTCTCTCTCCTTCCTCTCTTTCTCTCCCTAAGGCTGCCGCAGCAGCAAACCTCCCTCCACCTTCTTCTTGTTCTTCAACTCTTCTTCTCCAACTCCGTAAATCATTAGAAACCCAGTTTCTAACATCTGGTATCAGAGCCCGGTTCGAGAGTGAGTTTTTCATAACTCGTGAACCAAGGTAGATCGAAAGGCGACGATGGTGCAAAAGAAATCGCAAGCAGCAGCAGGGAAGGCAATTCAGGCTGCAGCCGCCAAGAAAACAACCACAACCATTGACAGGGGAACCGACGGCGCAGTGGAGGACGTGACGGAGCTCGAAGCGGTGAGTCTGGTGGTGCAAGAACATTCAGGGGCACTGGCTCGGCTCGAAGAAGGGTTGGCGATGGTGCAAGCCGAGGCGAAGGCGGATGCCGAGGGCCTTCGTCAGCTGCTAGAGAACCTCACGCAGGCGGTCGCGTCGCTACAAGCGAAGGGGACCAGAGCGGAGAACACGGCGAGACTGACCTCGGTATCGGCCGAGTCGGGGGCACTGGCTCTGGGGAAAACGGTGGCATCGGAGCGGGTGGGGGTCGTCATCGACGAGAGGCAGGGAAGACGTCGGCATTGTGTTGGAGAAGACAGTCGCGGCGCAGCCGCGCAGGTAGGAGAAGCGGCGGAGGTCAAAGGGGTGAAGGCGGAGGATGTGGAGTTGGGAAACACGGATCGTGAGGGCCACTACGCACGTGTGTAGGCAGTGGTTCGAGCCTGTTACTAACCCCGTTGGCCCAAGAGATCGTGACAATACGGGGAAAATAAAAAATGCCAGGCTATGACGACCTTGGGCCCCCAATTGATTTTTGGGCCGCATGATTCGGTGGGCCAGGGAGCTGAGTTTGGTCATGGAAAGGAACCCAACGGGCTTGGGTGTGGCTGGGCACGGACCCAGAAGAAGATGAGCTGAGCCTAGCAGGGCAAACAAAGTGTTGGGCCGAATCGGGAAGGAGTACAATCGGGCGGGGAATGGCCAGAGAGGCCGATCGGCCACCTAGATGGGGTCCAACACGGGGTGGGTGGACCGGAATGGGTCATACTGACCCGGGTTGTCCCAGGTTGACAGAAGCCAGTTGGACCAAACCAGACTCGGACAGAACCCGACCGGATCGCAATTGCGGCCGACAGCAGGGGGCCGACAGCATGGAGATAGTCCGACAGGGAATCACGAGCTTCTTATCAGGCTTTCATGGGCTTCCGAGCAGATAGGCAACCGTGTGTTGGACACTGGGATACCTGGCATGATTAGAAAGGCGGATTGGAAGAGTGTGCGGAGTACCCGTTTACGATAAAAGACTCTTGGGGTCGAGACAGAAAGCCACGAGATAATCGTGACCAGGCACGAGATTACAGAAGGTACGACAGCTACCCCCGTGGCTATGATGGTGATCTTATGTTTAGGGCCGAACCCCCTACCATTGAGTTCCCAAAATTCAATGGTCAGGAGGATGCATGCCTTTGGTTGTATGTAGCTGACAGATGGTTCAAGAACCATCTCACCAAGGAGGAGTGAAAGGCGAATATGACGTCTTTTTATTTAGAGGGTGACGCACTGCAGTGGTGGGAGTGGTTAGAGAGGTCGTGTGCAGATGCCGAGACTTTGATCACCTAGCCCTTGTTCCATGAGGAGCTTCGTTACCAGTTCTATAAGCCGGAAGGGTGGGCGCCAGAACAACTGGCTAAGCTACGTCAGGCGGGGAAGGTGGCGGAATACAAGGCGAAATTCTTCAAACTGGGCAAGCAATGCAAGGGGGGTACCGGAGGAGACCCTGGTTGGTTTGTGTATGGCCGGTCTGAAGCGAGAGATCACCGTTGCGGTCAAGGTCACAAGGAAGAGGAGCTGGCAAGTTGGAGGAACACGATTGGGCGCTTCCCGAAGGCGGTTGGAAGTGGGGAGGGTGGCACCGCGTCTAGCAGGGGAGGAGGGAGCACGCCTGCTGGGGCGGGTTCGACAGCGACCGGCACGATAACCATGACACGTCCGGGACCTAGGCAGCCGCCGAAGGGATTTGTGCGACTGTCTCCGGCAGAGATCGAGCAAAAGAGAAGGAAAGGAAAGTGATTCAACTGTGATGAGAGGATCACCGTGGGGCACAAATGTGTCAAACCAGACTTGATGACGCTGCTGGGACTTTGGGAAGGCGAGGCGGAGGATGAAGCTGAGGAAACAAGACATCCGAAGTCGGAGTAGGAGCTACAACCTTGAGGGCAAGGTTGTTTCCCAAGGAGGCGGGCATCGGCGGATCTAGGGCTGGGCCAGGCGGATCCAGATATAGAGCTTATAAATTTTTCGATTTTAGGTATTCGGCCTAGTATTATTTAATGGTCGGTCGAGTGCTATTTGATAATAAATTTTGTGTAGTTAGAAAAATGGTCTAGATGAACATATCTAAACCATTACTCTCAATTTAGTCTAGGAATTTTAATCCGAATGATTTTCATTTGAAAAAAACAATAAAACCTAAAAGTCTAAAATGTAAAAGAGTGTATAAAGTTTCATTGAAATAAGAAAATCCTCTAAACAAATTGATTTGTTGGTTGATTCGTCTAGTGTTGACCATGACCGTTTCAGCGGCTACCATGGAGAGAACATTTTAAGCAATGAAATATGTTAAAACTAATTTGTGCAACAAAATGCTAAGAATTTCTCGTTGATTGCTTAGTTATTTTCTTTGAGAGAGAGTATGCTATTGATATTGATGGATTTGCCAAATTAAAAAACCTTCTATTACAATTGGCATTGTAATGAATGAAAACTATTGTTATCATATATTTTTGGGTAAATACAATTTATTAGTCAAACCTTTTAGACTTTCCAAATTATTAGCCAAACCTTTCGAAATACAAAATATTAGTTAAATCTTTTGTAACGCATCAAAATATTAGTCATTTGTCTGTTACCGTTGGTAATTTTTTAACTATTTTTTATTTCAAATACTAAAATTTTAAATGACTATTTTTGTTTACGGTATATAATATTATATTGAAATGCGGCCCAATGCTTTACTGCGTTCTGGATCCGCCGCTGGAGGCGGGGATGCTAGAAACTCATTAATTATGTTTTCGGTTATTTGGAATTATTTATCGGTTTTAGATGTTTGGGAATTATTTGGGGAATTTCGGGAATAATTGGGGAGTCGATTGTTATGTCGTTTTAGTTAAGTATGTAATGGTTATTGGTAGGACTAGGGGTGAAAATCGGTATGGTATCGGTATCCCAATATCAAATATCGAATTACACCCTAAAGTCAATCCCAATCCCTAAATAATTTCAGTATCCCAATCACAATCCCTAAATATTTCGGTATCCCAATTGGTATTATCAAATACAAAATTAATTACCTTTGTAATTTATAATTAAACATATAAATTAGATTTTATTGTTTAGTTTAGGGGAAAAAGACTAAGCAAAGTGTCTTGAATTAGGACATCTCAATTTCTTATCATTGATAATCGTTAATTTGACAAATTAGATCTTGAGAGATGACTATTAGTAGTGATAGAATTATCTATGTATAATTAAATGACACTCTTGGTAGTTTAGGGTCGTGTAGTAGTGAATGAGAGAGTCTAGTTGAGAGGATAAAATACACACTAGCTTATATTCCGGTATTGATCGATATTTCGGTATATACCGATCCCAATCCCGTAATCCCTAATTCTGAATAAAAATTGAAATTCAATCCCAATCTCAATCCCAAAAAATAATATGTGTATTCGGTAATACCAAATATAGACAAATTCGGTACGGTATTCGGTATATCCCAAATACTGATACCAAACTTCCCGCTCTAAATAGAACTATATAATATGTAATTAGCGTGGTTTTCCCATTGATCAATTACAGATCAAAATTATCAACACTAATTCTCTCTCCGCCCTCCCACGTCTCCCTCCCTCCACCCTCTTTTTTTCTTCAACTCTTCTTAACCTATATCCCTAACTAGGTCATCACCTCATTGATCTAATGATTTTCTCCAACTCCGTAAATTGTTAGAAACTAGTTTCTAAAAACCATTTCCAAAATCTAAAGTTCCAAACAACCGTAAGTGTTAGCATTTTTCTAAAAAGAGTGTTAGCACTTAACTTAGATCTCCGTGCCCGGGGTTGAGCGGAGGGCATCCGAAGTATTAAAATTGGCGGGGAGATGACTTGTAATCACATTATCCATAGGAAGGAGATATGGTGAACAAGTGGCAGCATCTCAGTGGATGAAACGATCTTCCCCTTGACTTTACTCTCATAGCTTCCAAGATAGAGATAATTCGAACTTCCCAGCCCTGGAAAGACGAAACCGGCCAGCCACACAAATTGCTCAAACTCAAAAGCCACCGCTTTCCCAACGCCAACTTCCACAATCCAGAATCATGGCTAGCTGCAACATGGCATCAGCCGCTTCAGGGTTCGTCTTTACACCCAACGTCACAACAACCTCTGCTACCTCGAAGACAAGCGGCACCAACTTCTTGTTTTTCCAACACAAGAACAACAGCAGCGGCGGCGGTTCCAGGCTGCAGCTCGTCGTGAGGGCGGCCGCCGACGAGGGAGCGGCGCCACCTGCTGCTACTACTACAACCGCAGATGGTGAAGCTCCTAAGGCTAAGGTCAAGCCGCCACCGATTGGACCCAAGAGAGGAACCAAGGTTACATTTTGGTTAACTATATATATACTATATAGTATATTTCCCTATACTTGTATTCACTGATCATCATACAGCAAAAGGCTTGACGCATCTGTGTTGTTAAAACATGTGCAACAGGTGAAGATTCTAAGGAGGGAATCCTACTGGTTCAATGGAATTGGATCCGTGGTAGCCGTTGATCAGGTGAGACACAAATTTGCAAGTTGTAATCTTGGTTTCTTCTTCTTCTTTTTTTTTTTTTTTCTGTTCAATTTCCACTCAACTGTTTGGTTTAATTTGTTGGTTGCGCAGGACCCCAAGACTCGCTACCCAGTTGTGGTCCGATTCGACAAAGTTAACTACGCAAATGTATCCACGAACAATTATGCTTTGGACGAAATCGACGAAGTGAAATGAATGATTGTATTATTGTTGTATATTTTTTTCTTCTATTCTCTACTGTTGTAATTTTGAACAGTTGGGTGGGTATCTCAAGTCTCTCCTATTTCTCCGTCTAAAGCTCAAATGCATGCTCATCCCTTCCACAGCTTCTATTGCGCTATCGCCTCACCTTACCCTTCGTTTTATCCTCTGGCCCTCTTCTTTGTTCTCCTCATAGTTTAGTTTCGAACCCCATTAAATCAGCTCTGTAATGAGAAGTGGAACACTAAACACCATTAGAATGTTAGGTCATCTACAATAAGGTAGTACAAAGTCAAAATATAGCTCAAAACTCAAAACATAAAAATGGGTCAAAGTGCTGAGAAATGAGGTATGGAGTGCTAAGTTGGCACACAACACGACAAGGGTGTTACTTGACGAATCATCGTGACAATTTAGGAATTTCTGGACTCATATATTTTTAGTAGTTTTATTAATTAGTTCGTATTTCGTATTATTGAGGATATTATTATTGTTTAATTGTGTTAGCAGGATTGTGATTGTTTTCTAGTATGTTTAGAAATTGGTTATCGTTTCCTTGTGGGAGTAGTATTCATGTTCTAGATAGGAGAAAGTAGAGGCTTCTATGCCTATAAATATGCACTTTGTCTTTCGTTTGATGATATGAAGAAGATTGGAACCAAAATCTAGTTATTGTCTTTCGTTTTATCGCAATTTATCGCGTTTTATCGTAGTTTGTTAGTTTTATCGCAAGGAAGTTACGAGTCAAGAATTCTTCAATTCAGTGTCTCGTAACAAAGGGGAGCAAAAACTCTGCCCCCGTGATTCCCCTTGACGCGTCAGAGTAGGGAGTTGGACGCATTCCCAGGCGGAGAAGGAAGGCATGTTGGCGTCTTGTCAACCGCCCCTTGATAAAAATTGGAAAATTAAACAACAAGAGAACACCGGATTTTTCTTGGTTTTCTTGATGTTCAGGATAAATGAGATAATTTAGTTTTTAATTTCATAAAAAAGAACCCGCATTAACTCTGGCCGTTGAGATGGACGTGGACGGTGGATATTGCTGGTGTACGACATACCTCAATATATGTCTGGTGTATGATAGAAGTCACCATATATATATGATGTCTTCTACAGTAACCCGAATTTTATCCGGGGTACCGCATACCTTGAGTATGAAAACGCTATCTAGACCTCGAATTAGCAGGATTTTTGGGCATGATACTATACCCTAACCCTTAATGAGTGAACCCTAGGTCCTAATTATCTAAATCATAAACTATAAACCCCAATATGGTGCATTGATTATTTTACCTAAATTTGGATGAATCATTAGCGTCGATTATTGTTTCTAATTAAATTGATCTTGGGGTATAAGATTTAGAGAATTAAGACCTAGATGTTGATCTTTAAGAGTTAGAGTATAGTATCATGTCCGAGATCAATCAATTCAAGTTCTGAATAGCGTTTTCATACTCAAGGTATGCATTTTCATATATATGTTTGGTTCGGCTATTCTCTGAATCGTAGCCAGCCTAATTTAGGTAACTCCAGTAAATTGTGCATATTTACTAAAAGCTATGTAAACTAGACAAAATCGACATATTCAACATCCTCACTCAAATGATGGTGCTTACTTAGCATCAATTTGTTAGACAAATACCAATGATGACTTGAACCAACAACCTTTGTCAACAAATCTGCAGTCCGATCTTCCATCGACAAATAGGTGAACGACTCCTTTAACTAGTTGCTTTATATAGTGAACATGAGTCTCGATGTGCTTAGTCCATTTGTGTAATACTGGATTGGTAACAATACTAATTGCACTAGTATTATCACTGTATAGTTTCATGGGCATCATACAAGTCAAACCCAAATCTCCCAATAGTCGTTTTAACCAAACCAGTTCGGAGCTCACCTCAAGCATAAATCTGTATTCGGCTTCTGGAGAAGACTTGAAAACCCTTTCATGTTTCTTGTCGCACCATGAGATAAAGGATTGTCCAAACCGTACACACCATCCTGATTTCAATCTCCGGGTATCAACACATCCAGCAAAATCTACATCTGCAAAAGCTTCCAGTATCAGCTCACCTTGTCTTGGAAAGAAAATACCCATATCCTGTGTCCCTTTCAAATACCGTAGTATCCCGTGAACTACATCTAAGTGCATTGTCCTGGCTATTCCCAAGTATTGACTAACCACTTGTACCTCATATACAATGCCTAGTCGTGTAGAGTTCAAATATCAAAGACTGCCGAGAATTGTACGATAATTGGTCTGATCATCAAACGGATCCCCACTCGACCTGCTCAGTTTCAGATTTCGTTCCATTGGCATCACACATGGCTTGCAGTCATCAAACTAATGTTTAGTTAACAAATCTTGAACACACTTCCTTTGTCCTACAAATATACCTCGTCTATCCGCTTTGTTTCGAGCCCAAGGAGGTAGGAAACATCTCCCAATTCCTTAAGCTTGAAGGCTTGGTGCAAGGTCTCGCTAAGCTCCCTTCTTCCCTCCTGATCACTTCCTAAAAATAATCATGTCATCAACATATAATAGTAAGAATGTGATACTGTGAACTTTAGTTCTCAGAAATAACGATGGATCGTTCCGACTCTAAACAAGTCCTGCCTAAATGATCGTGCCATGAAACTTCTCAAACCAAGCTCGAGGAGCCTAGTTGAGACCATACAGTGATCTATTCAGACGAAAGACAACCTTGGGACCTCCTTTTGAGTACTCAGCTCGATAGGCCATGTAAATAGTCTCCTTAAGATCATCATGGAGAAATGCGTTCTTGACATCGAGTTGTACAAGAGGCCAATCCTTCATTGCAGCTAGCGCAAGAACACATCTCAAAGTCTGCATCTTAGATACTGGTGCAAAATTCTCATCATAGAAAATCCCAAATTCTTGACTGAAACCATGAGCAACAACTCGGGCCTTATAGAGTTCAAGTGAACCATCCGGCTTCCAACTTCACATTATTACACCCACTTGCTAACGATAACAGACATCTCTGGAGTACGTGGTACGATGTCCCGCGTTTGGTTTTCTTCTAGAGCATCAACTTCTTATGTCATGGTTGCATCCCATTTGGGAATGCCACAAGCCTGCTTATAATTCGCATGGATAGGAATAGGATCAGCAGCAAAGGCAATGTAACCATGATGGCGAACAGGTGGTTGTCCGCGTGTCACACGAGTTGATCAGTGAGGAGCAGCTTCCTCCTCTAGCTCTCCAACTCATAACCCATCATTTCCTTGACTCCCTTCTATAGAGGAATTTGCCGAGGAACTAGATGATGAATGTCCCTAATTATCTAGCTCCGTTGACGAGATCCTGCAGTGGAAGAGGAAGAACCACTGCTGGACGTGGAATTGCTGGAAGAAGAAGAGCACGGTCTCCTGGTAAAGATTATGGTCTCCAAACTGCCCGCGAATTGTGTGAAGCCCTCTGGAACCTTGGGAGATCACGCCCTGCTTGGCCACTTCACGATCCAAGGTCGCGATCTTCACCTCCAGCACGTGATCTCTACATCTTTTTCACCCTTTGGCTCATTTTGACACCCTAATGTCCTGAAACTCATCCCCAACGTTCCTACACATACTAGAACCTGAAATGTTATAAAAGAAGCACGACCTAGCGTAAAATTTTCTGAGTGACAATAATTAACAAGTCAAACAATCAAGATATGAATGAGTAAAACATGGGTAAATACGCTGGAAACAACTTGCTTTGATCATGAGCTTGACTTGAGCTTCAGACTTTGACTTTGGACTGAACTTATTTGTTGAATGAGCTTTGACGTTCTATTTTTTTATTGCTATTTTAATTTTATATTTACTTAGTAGCTGTATTTATAGGTTTGTTAAATATCCACGATTTTAATTATTATTTTTATTTATTTATAATAAAAAGTTATCCCTATATCGTTTTCCTTTTATTGTTTTGAAATCAAAACCTAAACTCACAAAATCCTAACGTTTGAAGAAAATTATTAACAAAAAGTGACATTAGCCAATCCAAAGCTGACGAGATTAAGCAATTGCCTTAATTTATTTAACAAAACTAAAGCATAATATCACAATGCCCTTGAATCATATTAATGGAAAGTCAAACCCAAACCTCACACCCATATTGGCACATTGAGATTTGCTAATGCTAATCATGGCAATCTAAAATACAATTCCTCGCCTTAAACACCTCAAGTATCATTTTAGTTATGAAGATGTTCAAGAGTCGCAAGTGTCAATACTGAACAAACTAAAGTCTCTCTAGTTAACTATATGTTTCATACCGATAGGGATGGCAATTTTGACCTGACCCGTTTTATCCGACCTGTTTGACCTGTTTTGGGGCGGGTCCGACCCGCCCCGTAGGCGGGGCGGGGCGGGCATGGGTAGTCTCATCGACTTGACCTGCCCTGACCCGCCCCATTCTCGACCCGTTCTTGTCTAAATTACATGTAATCTTAGTCAAATTACTTTGAATTTTCCTTTTATTGCATCATATTTTAGCTATAATAAAGTTGTAAATTAGTGAAAACCTCAATTTCTCCAATAATTTAACTACAATTGTCATAATATTGTTTGTTTTCTTAGTCATATAATAAAAATAACGAATATTTCTAATATTTTTCATATAAATTGCATACACATTGGGTCGACCTGCCCCGACCCGCGACCCGTGATCAATTACCCGACCTGGACCCGCCCTGCCACGGAGCGGGTCTGGGTACCAAGAAACCCGCCCCGGACCCGCCCGGACCTGCCCCATTACCATTCCTACATACCGGACAAAATGAGATGCATATATGCTTATACTTTCAATAATAATTTCTTTATAAAAAAGAACTATCTCCACCCCACACACACACAAATTCCCCCAACGATTATTTCAGTCTCCAATATTAATTTTCCCCCTATAAATAGTTAAATACACATTTCCTTACTACTACTTCATCATTTTCAATTTTCCCCTTATCTTCACAAAGAAAATTCATTTTTGTCAAATCAATAAAAACTTCTCTTCTTCCAAACTTTTGATGATGTCTCAATCTAAATGGATATTTGTCCATTGTTTACAAGTCACTTAAATCTACAATCGAGCCCACCAATACATTTGATTTAATATATTTGATACATGAAACCAGCGGTCCTTTCATCAATCCAATTTATTATCACAGCTTTAGGTGGCATAAGTTTATTCACCAGTCATAATATAAGTTAACATCGTACAATTACAAGGACATATCCTGGAAACACTCCTTGTTTGCCGTTGCCAGTATGTGTGCATGGAATAGTTAAATCCACCAACATAATAAACAAGACGAATGAACTGAAAATACATACATAGAATAATATCGGCAAAAATCCCATATGAGGACTAGAAATAAATCTACAATGGAAATGAAATTATGGTTCATGCATAAAAGTGCTGCAGATCCCGCCTAGGAATCCAGGACTTGAAAGTGTTCGTGTGTCCTCACAACTGCAGAAGGGCGATAAAGTTGGCTAACTCTGGCTGCCTTTCTTGGTGGCTGTTTCGACCAAAGACTCAAGTTCACCTTTCCTATGAAGCTTCACAGTATCTGCAAAATGAACAAAGCAAGAATAGTGACGGACCAGTCATTCGAAACAGGTCTGGAATGATCACAGAGAACGTCAACCCAAAGTTCCCTCGTATGAATTCGGAAATCTAAAAATGATGCTTGTCTGTTCTTGGGAGTGCTCCAGAAACCAGGTCAAACTTGTTTTTCCAATGTGTGTTCACTGCTGAAGTATTAAACAAAAGCCTGCAGCTGATTAAGATGAACTGTGGACGGTATCAGGGGTATGAGGCTTTCCTAGGTTGGGCTGTGAAGCAATTCTCTGCTAGGAGGCCATCTGCTAAGGTAAGGGAGGTTAGTGTGAAATGTTACTGTACGTGTACTGTGGCGAGAGCGATGCAGCAGGTTACGTGGAGATGTGAGGATTGACGTTGCAGGGGTGGTAGCCAAGATTCAAAGAATCTTGAGTTAGCTATGGCTGGAAACGAGGCTTACAGGAGGATTTTACCAATGTTTAGTGTGCTAGTGTACTATCAGTGGATAGGGTGAAGGTGTGTAGTAGGGTACTGAGTTTGCTAGGAGTTAGTTACATTGGTTTGCATTACTTTTGTGACAAGCGATAGACGTTTTAATTATTTGGGTTTCTGTCGGTTGAATTATTCAGTTCGGGTTTATTTTGGTTATTGGGAATATTTTGGGGGATTAATAAGTTGGGGTAGTTAGTAGGTAATTGTGTTTTGGGTATTTAGATTATTGTTTACGTAGGAAGAGGCAAGAAAAGATTAAACCTAAAAACTAATCTCTCTCTCTCTTTCTCCCTCTCTGCGCCGAACCCCTCCCCTCTCCCTACCAAGCTGCCGATCGGCAGCCTCTTCCCCTCCCTTCTCCTTGCTTCAACTCTCCCCAAATCTCCCTTCCCCAAATCTCCCTTCCCCAATTCTCATAATCAACGGATCAATCCCTAATTGATCCCAAATCCCCAATCTCTGGGTAGAGCCTAATCTGGAGCTCTATCATTTGGTATCAGAGCCTGGTTCTTCCTTGGATTCCGGAGCAGATGAAGAACGACGAGCGCGATGGTGACGACGAAATCGATGCAAGCAGCTGAGAAGGCCGCCAAGGCGGCGGCGCAGGAACAAGCCGCGATCGCGGCCACGTCGAGGCTGCCGACGGCTGGTGAGGGCGGTCATGAGGTCCCGGTTCCGCGGGACGGAGAGCTTGAAGATGAGGTTGGGAAGCTGGAGGCAATCCAAGCTACCTTGGATCGCCTGGTGAGGGCGTTCGAAACGGAGCGCGGAGACAAGCTGGCTGTCAGGCGCGAGCAGGAGGAGGAGTCGCGGAGGGTTTGGAAGAGGTTTGATGAGGTGCAGGTGGCTTTGGAAGCGCTGCACCCGCGCAAAAGGGCGGCGACGGCGGCGATACTGGGGGCAGCAGCGGGAGCACGGCGGGCGAGCCGCCGATCGGCGAGACGGCGAGCGCCGCGGTGGCGGAAGGAGGCGCGTCGAGAGGTGTGGTGGGGGTGGCTGACACGCCGCCAGCAGCGGCGGCAGTGGCGAAGGAGGCGGCGGAGGTGGTGGCCGCAGGCGGCGGGGGCAACTTGGCCAGCGCGAGCGAGCAGGCGAGCCACGGTCAGCCAGGGCGCAGCGGTGGGCCTGGGCTTCTACCGACACCAACGGCCCAGGAATTGGCGGCCCGCAAGGGCAAGGCCAAGATGCCAGGGTACGACAACGGGGCCCAGCCGACTGGGCAGGGCCCACCTAGGCCAATGGGCCGGATTGACACAGTGGGCCCGTATCACGAGCCTAAAGGACTGGGGTGGCTGAATATGGACCCTGAGCGGATCGAGGAGGAGCTCAGCCAGGTGGGCTAGAATGCACCATGGGCTGACCCGGCTAGTATCGAGGATTACTTGGGCCCGGACATGACAGGGGGCCACTTGGGCCCGTACGTGACAGGGGGCCGAGCCGCGCTAGTTGGGCCGGGACAGGAGGGCCGGTTCGGCCCGGGTGGATTTGATCTGGGTCGAGGGGGCGGGTCAACCGGTCGGACCGACCAGGGGCTGACCGGCCCAGGTCGGGTGGGGGTGAACCAGGGCGAGTCGGGCCGGGTCGCATGATACCGGGTGAACCCGACTGGGCGGACCGGAAGTGGACAACCGGGGCTGGTTAGATCGGCCAGTATGGACCCAAACATGTGGCACGGGTCATATGGTGGAGGGAACGAGACGGGTCCGATGGGGCGAGGTTCTGCAGGCAGTTTTGGGCGAGGAAGAGGGATACCGTTCTACCAGGACCAGCTAGGGGGTGCTTCTGGTTATGACAGGTATGGTTCATATCACCCTGCCTATGATGGGACTGATGCGATGGTCTTTAGAGCCAAGCCCCCGACCATTGAGTTCCCAAAATTCAATGGTCAGGAGGATGCCGGATTGTGGTTGTATGCAGCAGAGAGGTGGTTCAGAAATCACCCCATTCCGGAGGAGAGGAAGGCGCATCTGGCGTCCTTCTACTTAGAGGGAGAGGCGTTGCAATGGTGGGAGTGGATGGAGAGGTACTATGGGGCGGTGGGAACATTGATCACCTGGCCATTGTTCCAGGAGGAGTTGCGTTACCAGTTCGGTAAATCGGAGGGGTGGGCTCCAGAGCAGTTGGCCAAGCTGAAACAGACCGGCTCCGTTGCGGATTACCGTGCAGAGTTCTTCAAATTGGGCAATCAATGCCATGGGGTCCCAGAGGAGACACTGGTGGGACTGTGTATGCCAGGCCTGAAACCGGAGATTGCTGCTGCTGTCCGGGTCTTCGAGCCGGATTTCTTGAAATCTGCTTTTCGTCTTGCAGGGTACAAGGAGGAGGAGTTAGCGAGTTGGAGGAGCACCATAGGCCGTTATCCGCGGGCCAATGGCGCCAGGAGCAATAGCAGGGGCGGCAGTGGAGGAGGAGGAGCAGCTGGAGCCACTGCGGGAGCTGGGGGAGCGACGGTGGCGCAGGCGCCGGTGACCGCGGCGAAAGGTGGGCCGCGACCACCACCCAAGGGGTTTGTGCGACTATCCCCTGCAGAGATCGAGCAGAAGAGGTGGGAAGGGAAGTGCTTCAATTGCGACGAGAGGTTCACAATCGGTCACAAGTGTGCACGTCTGGACTTGATGATGCTGGTCGGAAGGTGGGAGGACGAGGCAGAGGATGAGGCAAGAGAAGGGGAAGAAGCAGGAGAAGGCTACCAACCTTGAGGACAAGGTTGTTTTGAAGAGGAAGGGAATGATAGACGTTTTAATTATTTGGGTTTATGTCGGTTGAATTATTCAGTTCGGGTTTATTTTGGTTATTGGGAATATTTTGGGGGATTAATAAGTTGGGGTAGTTAGTAGGTAATTGTGTTTTGGGTATTTAGACTATTGTTTACGTAGGAAGAGGCAAGAAAAGATTAAACCTAAAAACTAATCTCCCTCTCTCTCTTTCTCCCTCTCTACGCCGAACCCCTCCCCTCTCCCTACCAAGCTGCCGATCGGCAGCCTCTTCCCCTCCCTTCTCCTTGCTTCAACTCTCCCCAAATCTCCCTTCCCCAATTCTCATAATCCCCGGATCAATCCCTAATTGATCCCAAATCCCCAATCTCTCGGTAGAGCCTAATCCAGAGCTCTATCAACAAGGAATTGGTGTATCCTTGCACCTTGAGTTTTAATGGAATTTTTTATTACCCATGTGAAAAAAAGATCTTGCACATCCCTGTAAAACCAAAAAAAAAAAAAAACAGACAGAGCTGTTTCTGTAATAGGATAGAGACAGCCTGCCGGATAGATATTAATTTAGGAGAAACTGTGAAGCATGTTGGATACAGCCCAAACTATACGTGACTGCTATATAATAGCATTAACTAGAGAGGAATCCAAATAATAACTACAGTATGAAATGTACCTGTGCAACCACCAATGTGTTTGCCTCCTGTTCACAAAGAGTACCAGATCATTAGGCTTGATATAGATGAGACCAACTCAGAAACAATTAAAATGGAGGAACTTCCAAGTTCTCCAGAAAAGATGAAACACGGATAACATGTAGTCTGTGTTATTACAATCTGCATACCCAGATAATCAAACAAACAACATCCAAGTCTATCTCAAACTGCAAATACATGTAAAAGTTAAGGAGTTCTCCCTCCATCGGTTTCTGTGTACAGATGCAGAAGCAGATGGCTGATGGATGAACATCAGTTTCAGGCACACAATCAGATGCCTAGTGGGGCTTCACATATAATTTATGCAAGGCCAAGCGGAACTGGTAGTCTTTCTTTACATAGCTATTCATTAAGAATTCGAACATTCACAACTTGCGGAACCTATTGAGGAGATAATTAATTTGTTTAACAAGTTGTTTTCAGTTGAATTTCTGCAGAACATTAGAGAGTCGACAACTCAAACTCAAACACACTTTAGAAATAGCTGTCAAACCATAGAAAGCACACATTACAAGGCCTGGAAAGGTTTGAATATGGTGCTATCCCTTTTCCCAAGTCGCACCTTTACTTGACAGATGACTGGCATCATTGTCCAGCAAACAAATCCGAAGTTTCTATACAGCAGTCGGTAACCCAGAAATTTTGCAGCAATCGTATAAACTTGAGTGGTAAAGTAGGCGAGTTTCCACAGAGAGAAGCATTAAAGAGGATGGAGAAGCAAATGTGGCATGTCTGACAGTCTGAGTATGGATATACACACTGACATACTCTGTGAACAGATTCTTGGTGATATGGACTGAGGAACAGGATGTCTTTAAATTAAGCATTTTAAACAGCCAAGGGAAGTGAACCAAACAAAGAAAGTCACGAATGCTTAAATTCACAACCAGACAAGACATATGAGCCGAACATTTGCTGCAGGAAAGGACTATTGAAGAAGACAACTTGTAATATCCTTGCAAAGCTGAGAAATGCAAATCTTACCAATAAACACATTTGGAACAGTGTGTTGGCCAGTAAGCCTTTCCAGAATCTTCTGCAATTGTGGTCCTTGGGCACCTGAAACAAATCCAGATTCAGCAGCCCCTCAACAAACATAGAAGAAGATGCCAAAAATCAGGCCTCAGGAACTCATTCAGCTGAAAGAAAGATTATAGATTTTACATCAGAAAATGGGTCCACCGGTGCGTACCTAATTCATCCAATTCGATAACCAAGGGTTCCACTCCAAGCTTCTTGAACAACGCCTTCACCTCAGAGGAGTACCTAGTTTGAAATTATTTTTCCGCATTTGATCAAAACTAAAACAAATGTAGGGCGATAGAGAAGTAACAAAGTAAAATACGATTAGAACTCACGAGCACCAAGTCTTGGAATAAACAACAACAGGGTTCTCGGCCACGGTCTTTTTCACCGTCTCTTCGAGCCTGGCCCCGAAGGAAGAAGGAGATGATGGAGCAGACATGGCACGGACCGTGAGGGGTCGGTGTCTTCCGCTGCCGTAGCCATTGAAGGAGACGGTGGCGGTGGACGCCAGAAGAGCTCGTCGATGGGACGGGAAACAGGGAAATTGGCGAGAGAAGGAAGATTTGAGAGGGAGACAAGTTAGATTGGCGAAATGAAATGTGGTAGACATCGCGACGGTTGTCCCTCTCCTGCGAGTGCAGCTCCGCCGCCGTGAATTCAAATCGTATATTGTAAACCGACTTTCTGACCTGTTGGTGTTGGGGATGTTGTAATTCTATTCATGTTGCCACTTGCCACGCACACGATGGTGGAAATATTAGCTAGATCCAACATATACAAAAAAAAAATCGAAATACAAGCCCATTTTGCAAATCAAAGTAAAAAACAAACATAGTGTGGTCTCCTATCTGAAAATCTTGTTATCGGTTGCGGAGCGATTGTTTGGCACCTGTTCTCCTCATCGGGTTCGGGTCGACCTGTGAGTTGACAACTTTGGTTATAATATGTAAATAAAATGACATCGTTTTAGAGAATTTAATTAACAAAAAGATTACCTTGTAATTTATTTCATGAATTTGAAAATTAAATGTTGATGTTATTTGTTAGATTCAAATATAAATATTTAGTTATTAAATATAAATATTTTTATGTATTTTATTTAAATATATATTATCTTTGGATATGTTTTTATATACCTTAAATTCATTTGAAGTTAATGACTTTCACATTTTGACATATTTTGTTAAATAGTATTGAACCAGTATAAACCAGTTGTATCCCGATCAAACCATACACTTGATAAACCAGCGTAACTGTATAAACCGATTTGACACCTGGTGAAGACTAGTCGTCTGCCGGGTAGTTGGACTGAGAGGGCTTGGTCAGGTTAAGAGATTCCAAGCTATTGTCGGATCTTCCGCAGTATAATCAGCAGTAAAGCAACCAAAAGTAATCACAACTGGAATCTAACTAAGGAGCTAGGGGGACTCATTCCCGAGTGACTCTTCCTTTGCTTTAGGAAACCGAACCATTTCCTGCTTTCTTACTGCTTTTACTTAAATCAACAATCAATCGACTTAGTTTGCTAGATAATAGATAATCACGGAGTAGGCAGTAGATCTAGAGCCCGGGTTGATAATTAGAACTTGCCACTTTACTGCATTCCCGGACTGCGATTACACTTGGTCGCAGTTTGGTCTTGTGTTTTAGCGTGTCAAGTTTTTGGCGCCGTTGCCGGGGACCCTCTAGGTTATTGGAGAAACGTGAAAGTTTGTTACTCTAGCTTTTTCTTTACTGCATTTTTCTCTCTTCCACCTGTGTGCCTTCACGGGTTGCTTTTGCTGATGGTGTGCAGGTAGTGCATGACCCGTAGCCAGTCGGGAGAATTACTACCATTAGACCAGGAGCTTGAACGGACCTGTAGGAACTTCAAGCGGGCTCTAAAGGCGCGACTGGCTGAGGAGGAGGTGCTAGCACAGCTGCAAATCGCCGACGAAGAAGAGATGGGAGATCCACAGAACCATGAGGTGGATTTTCCCGAGGAGCAAACCATGGGGTACTACTGGACCGCCAGAGCCGCGGACATGAGGTCGCCCATTCAATACCCTCAAGTCCCAGCCAACAACTTTGAGGTTAGCACCTCGGTCATCACTATGTTGCGCGGCTCGGTAGTATTCCGTGGCAAAGAGGGGGAGTGCCCCCGATCACATCTGAGGCGATTCCACGAGCTCATCGATGGAATCAAGATAAATGGGGTCCCAGCCGATGCCATCCAGCTGAGGTACTTCCCAATTACTCTGGAGGGGCAGGCCAAGGAGTGACTAGACACTCGACCTCCAGGTTCGATCACCACGTTCGCCAACCTGGCGGGCAAGTTCCTCACTCGCTACCATCCCCCGTCCAAGACGGCGGACTTGCAGAAGCAGATTACTCACTTTGTTCAGGATGAAGATGAGACCATCCGGGATGCTTGGGAGAGATACACCAGTCTTTTCCTCAAGTGTCCCAACAATGGTTTTACCGACGCCTTCAAGGTGGGCACCTTCTACCAATGCCCTCTTCCCGGAAGACAAGCAGCTGATTGACTCAGTCTGTGGCGGGAATATGCTCACCAAAACACCGCCACAGCTGAATCAACTTTTTGAAGAGATGGCAGAGCAGGGCTATGATTGGGGAACTGCAAGGACAAGTTCCTCACTCGCTACCATCCCCCGTTCAAGACGGCGGACCTGCAGAAGCAGATTACTCACTTTGTTCAGGATGAAGATGAGACCATCCGGGATGCTTGGGAGAGATACACCAGTCTTTTCCTCAAGTGTCCCAACAATGGTTTTACCGACGCCTTCAAGGTGGGCACCTTCTACCATGCCCTCTTCCCGGAAGACAAGCAGCTGACTGACTCAGTCTGTGGCGGAATATGCTCACCAAAACACCGCCACGGCTGAATCAACTTTTTGAAGAGATGGTAGAGCAGGGCTATGATTGGGGAACTGCAAGGACAAGTTCCTCACTCGCTACCATCCCCCGTCCAAGACGGCGGACCTGCAGAAGCAGATTACTCACTTTGTTCAGGATGAAGATGAGACCATCAGGGATGCTTGGGAGAGATACACCAGTCTTTTCCTCAAGTGTCCCAACAATGGTTTTACCGACGCCTTCAAGGTGGGCACCTTCTACCATGCCCTCTTCCCGGAAGACAAGCAGCTGATTGACTCAGTCTGTGGCGGAATATGCTCACCAAAACACCGCCACGGCTGAATCAACTTTTTGAAGAGATGGCAGAGCAGGGCTATGATTGGGGAACTGCAAGGACAAGTTCCTCACTCGCTACCATCCCCCGTCCAAGACGACGGACCTGCAGAAGCAGATTACTCACTTTGTTCAGGATGAAGATGAGACCATCCGGGATGCTTAGGAGAGATACACCAGTCTTTTCCTCAAGTGTCCCAACAATGGTTTTACCGACGCCTTCAAGGTGGGCACCTTCTACCATGCCCTCTTCCTGGAAGACAAACAGCTGATTGACTCAGTCTATGGCGGGAATATGCTCACAAAAACACCGCCACAGCTGAATCAACTTTTTGAAGAGATGGCAGAGCAGGGCTATGATTGGGGAACTGTAAGGAGATCAAGGCGAGCACCAGGGCGGGGTGTGCATGCTATAGCCACCCAGTCATCTGATTTGGTGCAGGTGGTATCGAAGCTGGTTTCAGCCATCGATCGCTCTGGGATGATTGCAGGTACAGAACAGCAGCAGGCGATGCACTGCAGTGGTGTGAGAGCTCTCATCACACCGTGGAGGACTGTCAGGCGATGAGGGAGTCTTCTACTCCCCAGGAGCAGGTGGACTTCATCGGCAATGCCAGGCGCTTCGACCCCTACAGCAACACTTACAACGAGGGGTGGCGCCAGCATCCTAACTTCTCCTGGGCGGGGTCCAATTTTGGACCACCAGTCCCCCAGGGACCACTAGGCTTCCAGAGGCCTCCTTACCAGCCCAGACAAGGACAATTTCAACAGCCGCAGCAGCCACTCTACCCGCCCAGATAGGGGCCAGTTCCACCTCAGTCACAGATGCGGCCATTTCATCAAACAGGGGCAGCACCCGCAGCCCCCAGTACAGAGTGACCCGATGGCGGAATTGCGAGATTTGGTGGGTTCTCTGACCACCTCCCGTGGAAACAAGTTCAATAACATCGAGCAGTTCATGGAGAAAGCTTCAGGTAAATTCTTGGAGCTAGAAGCTGGTCAGAGAAACACAGAGGCTATGTTGCGGGATATCTAGACCCAGCTTGGGAGTGTTGCCCAGGCTGTAGCTCAGAGGACTCCTGGTACTTTACCCGGTCAGACCATCCCTCATCCGCAGGACCCAAATGAGCACTGCAAGGCCATTACTACCAGGAGTGGCAAGATGAATGCAGATCCACCTGTGCGGGCAGAGGAGAGAGAGACCCCTGCTTCAGCACTTCCAGCTAATGAGGAGGAAATGGAGAAGGAGGTTGAGGTGCCTGCTCCTAAACAGCAACTAGTGGTGAAAGAGTATGTATCAGAGCTTCCCTTTCCTACTCGGTTGCACAAGGACCGACTGGAGACTGAGTTTGCCAAATTCATGGCAATGCTGAAGTAGGTAAACATAAGCATGCCCTTCGTGGAGGAATTATCGAAGATGCCCAAGTATGCCAAGTTCATGAAGGATCTCCTCACCAACAAGAGGAAGCTCGGGGAGCTGTCAACGGTGATGCTCAACGAGAAGTGTTCTGCCATCCTGCAGAACAAACTACCAGAGAAGCGAAAAGACCCAGGGAGTTTTACTATCCCTTGGATGATTGGTAGTTTGCATATAGGGAAGTCCTTGGCGGATTTAGGCGCTAACATAAATGTCATGCCATATAAACTGTTTAAAAAGCTAGGCCTAGGTGAACCCAGTGATACTAGGATGAGCATTCAACTTGCTGATAGATCCATTGTGCATCCTAGGGGCATTGCAGAGGACTTGATAGTCACAGTAGGGCCATTCTCATATCCTGTTGATTCTGTGATTTTGGACATAAATGAGGATGTGGATGTGCCATTAATATTGGGTAGACCTTTTCTCGCCACCGCCAAGGCGCTCATTGATGTGAATGATGGAAGATTGATTTTGCGAGCTGGGGGTGAACAAATCACCTTCTCTGTTTCTGATAATATGAAACACCCCCAGCTCCATGATGATTTAGACTACTGTGATGTTGTTGCTGATTTTGAAACCGCACTCGCCATCACGAGTGCGGGTACTGACGATTTCCTCGAGCGTTGTCTTTTGCTAGGGAACAGGCATCACAGGATGTGCAGTTGGAGGAGCAGCTCGCGGAGCTAGACGAGGCCGCGATCGAGGGGCGAGAGATACCATTCAAGCCGATCCCTATCTCGCCCCGGATCACTACATCATTGGAGGAGCCGCCAGAGCTGGAGCTTAAGCCCCTCCCCTCTCACCTGGAGTATGCATTTCTCCGGGAGAGGAATAAGCTCCCAGTCATTATCAGCTCGGATCTGACACCCGAGCAGAAGAGCAGGCTGGTGGCTCTGCTGCAGAAGTATGCCCGGGGCATGGCTTGGAAGATCACAGATATCAGAGGCATTAGCCCATCCTTCTGCTCCCACAGAATTCTGATGGAGGATGAGGTTAAGCCAGTCAGGCAGCCACAGCGGAGATTGTCTCCTAACTTGGAGGTAGTGGTCCTGGCAGAGATTGTGAAGCTCATGGATGCAGGGATAATCTTTGCTATATCTGATAGCAAGTGGGTCAGCCCCACTCAGG